AACCAGTCGGAGAACACTCCAACCTCCCTCGTCACTCAATTACAGAACTAAAAGTCTCAATACTCCAACAAAAACACTTCAGAAACAGACTCCAACAAGAGACTGCTGAATTGGAATTAATTTGCAAACTGGACACCATTAAATTAGGCTTGAATAGAGACTGGGAGTGGATGGGTCATTACACAAAGTAAAAATTGTTTCCCCCTGCTAATTTTCCCCCTACTGTTACTCACACCTTCTTGTCAACTGTTGGAAATGGGCCATCCTGATTATCAATACAAAAGTTTTTTTTCTCTCGCTGATGATAGCCCACCTTAATTGATTAGTCTCGTTAGAGTTGGTATGGTAACACCCATTTTTTCATGTTCTCTGTGTATATATATCTTCCTACTGTATTTTCCGCTGCATGCATCCGATGAAGTGGGTTTTAGCCCATGAAAGCTTATGCCCAAATAAATTTGTTAGTCTCTAAGGTGCCAAAAGGAATCCTCGATCTTTTTGCTGATACAGACTAACTACCACTCTGAAACCTTTTACTGTAGAGTTACCTATGCCCTTTTGTTACTTGTATATGAGTGTTTATGTCACTGATTTATGTGATACAGACATAATTTTTGCTTTCAGTTACATGCATTCATTATTGCATTATTTTGTACAATGGGACCAATTCTGCTATCAGAGGGGCCAGGCCCTGCTTTCATTTAAGCTGCCTGAGGTTGCATTTGTCCCAAGCTCTTGTCATCCAGTGTGATATTTATATATATGGTATTCCTGTATATCTCATCATAGGTATGCTTACGATCTCATGCTTCAGGGCTGATCTCTTCATGGGTCAGGTAGGGATTCCTCTCCCTCCCCCATCACTGCTTCTATGGAGAGTGTTGCATCACTGGGATATCATGCAGCTTCTTGTTTTTCTGGGCACTGATGACAGAGTTATCCTTGCCTTGCTGGACAATGACTCCTAGGTTCTTGTATAATTTCTGAGGGTGAATTTCACACTGGTGTAAGGATCCAGCATCAGGTTTAGCCACCCTTTAAGACCCACTTAAACCGTAACGAGCCCTACGGGTCTGAGTGGGATGTTAATGGTCCTTGCGCTTGCCCTCTGCATAGGGGTGAATTTCACTCTAAATGATGACAAGGTAAGTGACTTGGTGTGGCTAAAAGCTGCTTTTATGTTACACGGGTGTAAATCTGGCATAATTCCACTGAAGCTGATGGAGTTACTCTGGATTTACACCACCATAACAAAGCAGAGAATATGGCCATTTGCTTTTTAACCAGTCATATGCTGCAGTTTTACTGATACTCAGGTGTTTTGCTGCTGGCTTCCCCATGCTCTGGATAGGTCCGAAATACATTTAATTGCTGAGCGTACTTTGTCCATTCCTTTATAGAAGAACTGGGACGAACTCTTTACAGTGATTGAAGTTGCAAATCACAGGGGAATTTTTCTTTTTAGGCATTTTGTAAATGATGACAGAGGAGCATGAGTCCCTTTCAGGAGCAAGGAGACTTGCCTGACTTTTAAAAATATTGATGTTTTGTTTCATTTAAAAAATATATTGCATTTCATAGCCCACCTGCTTTTAAATTGCTTTTCTTGTTTTCCTAATGTGTGTTTCTCTGGAAGTTTGTGCGTCTTCTATTTGCCTTCGATATGGGAAAAAGTTTACGTCAATAAGGTTTGATTTGATTTGTAAATAACGCTGGGGTTATGTATTATCACGCAGGCACAGAACTCTGACTCCCTGTCTTGTCCTCCAGACAGATATGACAGGCTGGACACATGACCCGAGCAGGATGAGAGGAGGAAGATTAAAATAACTTTGAGGGAAGAGCATAGAACTTTATCCTATGCCTCTGTTTAGCCAATAAACCACCAGGAGCTTGTGAAATAATTACCTTAGACAGATAATAAAACATCCTCAGGCAAAACTAAGGTACTTAATATACTGCCCAAGTCAATTCCCCTTATTTCTGCTGTCCTTCTGCTTTTAATAATGGCTTAATGAAAAATTCAAAATTAATTGGAACTGGCATTAGACATTCACATGGCCCAGTGTGGGCTGCCGAGCTTAAATATTTCATCACCCACCTTCTCTGCCACACACTCTGCTTCCACAGGCTGGGATGTTGGCCCTTTCCCCCAAATTAAACCCTCTATAGCAGGGGCTGGTGGAAGAGCCCGAAGAAGTTTGCAAACTTCTTGCAGGTGAAAATAAATAAACCCCAGCAGCTAGATCTGAGTGTTTTCCTTCTGCTGCGATCTTTCCCTCTCTATTTAATGATACACATCCGAGGACCGATTGGAAAGAGCAGCTCTAAAAATAAACAGGAGCTGTCTGAAAGGTATTTGTCAGTTGTCAGGCTGACACGTAGGCTAGAAGAATGAATCAGCTGAAGGGGCTGACAGCAGACGGGCTCCTTTGAAATGAGAGTGCTTTGTACTTCCCCTGGCACCCCCTGGGCAAGCAGTGCCGGCCGCATGTACAGACTTGGTGGTGTATAGGGAGTGATTCAGCTCTGATCTGTGTCAATGAGAGGCTGTCCTTTGACATCAGTGGGAAACGGATCAGTCCTGACTCCAGCTAAGTGTGTGGCTTTACACCAAGGATGAACTTGGCCCTTGGAGTGGAATTCATCCATTACAGAGGCGATGCACCAGACCCTCTGCTCGGGGGTGTGTGTGTGTGAATTTTACCCCCTAGATCCATATTTTGGCTGTTAAGTCAGGGGGTTTATTTTCAGAACGGCTGAGCACCAGCAGCTCCTATTGACTTCTGGACCCCTAGTTCTGGTGCCAAGATGAGATGTTAGCGGCCTAGCTTTAGGCACCCAAATTAGAAAAGCTGGCTTTCATCACTCTGTGCCTCAGTTTCCCCTTTTGTAACATGGTGCTCTTATGCTGACTTTACTTGAGGACCTGCCTTTGGAGCAGTTGCCGAGCTTATGATGTTTGTAAACACTTTTCAGAGGAACAGCCGTGTTAGTCTGTATTCGCAAAAAGAAAAGGAGTACTTGTGGCACCTTAGAGACTAACCAATTTATTTGAGCATCAGCTTTCGTGAGCTACAGCTCACTTCATTGGTTAGTCTCTAAGGTGCTACAAGTACTCCTTTTCTTTTTGTAAACACTTTGAAACCCTCCAGTGGAAGATGCTACTGCAGTGAAAAGTGCGTTAGTACTTGATCTGAGGGGCTCATAATAGCCACCCACCTCCCAGGTAGGTTTTCATTACCCCCATTTTACAAAAGGGGAAGCTGAGGCACAGAGCTTGCTGTGACTTACCCACACATACACAGTGAGTCAGTAGCACAGCTGTCAATAGGACCCAGGCATCCTGGCTCCCATCAAACCATAATCCCTGAATTATATTGGCCAGATTTGCAAAAGTGCTCAGCATCCAGCAACTTCCATTGTCTTCAGTGGGGATGGTGGGGGTGATTCTCCATTGTTCTTAACGGGCTGGGAGGGGGGTGGGGTTGGGATTCTCCATTGTTCTCAATGGGAGCTGCTGGATGCTCACCATATCTGAAAATCTGGCCAGTTCATTTAGAAGTATAACCGGGAGCCAAACTCCTTTCAGAATTTGGCGGTGTATAATAAAGCAAAGTCTTTGAAGACAAATGGCTTGCAGTACTTTGGTCAAAAGACACTATTCCGGGTACAAAAGAATGGCCACGGGGAATTAATTCATGTAATATGGCTGCAGGAAATTGCGTACAAGATAAGATCTTGACGTGATCTTTTTGAAAAAACATGACTTCCTCATCTAGCTGATCTTTGCTCTAAAGTATTCTCTTCCACATCTGCCACCAACTGCCCTGATGATCAGTCAATTATAAATGACTCCTATAGCTGATGACGTCTTCTGTCACAGTGGTATATTTAGATTTAGAAGGGGACAGTTTGTTACCACTGGTATTTAGATTAGAGCTGTATGAATAATGGATTTTTCAATTTGCCAGTAATTCGGTAAGTCATTTTGAACCGAAAATATCGAAATGTTTCCATTTGTTTGGATTTTTTTTCAGTATTTTTTTTTTTAACTGGAAACAATCTGGTGAAGAGAACAGGAATTTGTGGCACCTTAGAGACTAACAAATGTATTTGAGCATCTGGTGAAGCTCACACGAATTTGCCAAATGTTTTGATGTCACCAAATGTGCATTTTTCTGCCCAAGAAAAAAAAAAAGTTTTGGCAGCAAATTTCCCCCCTTCTCTGGTTTAGGTCTCTAGGCTGGTTGCAGTGCTCGTGCACATTTTTTTCTGCAGCCTTGTGATGCTGTCGTTTCTCCCGTGCTAAGAGGACTTAGGGAGATCATTACTCAGACGGAACATCCTCCAGGAACGGGAAGTAGTGCTGATTAACTAGCTTGCTGAGTCTACACGGTGGCCTTAGGAGCAGGGGATGACACACAGCCTGTGCACCTGGTGAATGTCGTTTATTCAATGTACAGTGTCTCAGCTGAGATGTAAAACAAAGAACATTGCAGTTGTTATAGATTCCGTTGCACTTTTCACCCGGGAGGAGGTATTGATTAGCTTTGAAGTCCTGCCCAAATTTCCGCATGTCTAATTACACACTCTGCCTATCTAATCTCCATTGGAGGGAGTGTTTCTCTTTTCCTGATTTAAACTGACATGGTGTGGTGCAATGTGACTGTTAACCAGTTGCTGGGTTCCACCTCAGAGGCGGCTGCATTTTAGTACTAGTGGAAGGGATCTTACTGAAGCTCTCCAGCTCTTTAATGCACCCACCCATCCATGGTCTCTAAATATCAGTCTTTGGAGTGCTTTGGGAGCCTTTGCGCTTTGCAAATATAATTATAATTGTTATGGCATTTGCAGGGCGGGAAATCACTCCTACACATATTCCCCAGCCAGCAAGGGGATGTGTCTGTGGAAGCCAGTCCCTGAGATGAGCTTTTCCCTGGAATGTGAAGCACACAGTGTAGCAGCTGGGAGGAACAGGTTTGGCAAGAGGTGTAGGGTGTTCACTGCAGGAAGCTCATTCGGCGCCACGTCTCTGCCTTCACCAACACACCTGGATGCCCCTCAGTGCTGCGCTGGCCAGCCTGCCAGGCCCGAGAGGATGGAGACCCTGCGAAGGAGCCTTTCCCGCTGGAAGAGGTACCACATCAAGGTGCACCTGGCCGATGAGGACCTGCTGATGCCCCTCACTGTCAAGCCCACAGACAAGGTGATGGACCTGCGGGCTCACCTGGTGCGAGAGGGCATCACATCCTGGAAGAAGACTTTTTACTACAACGCCAGGCAGCTTGGGGAGGAGGAGACTGTCAAGGAGGCCAAAATCCAGAATGGCTCCGTCCTGCTTCTCGTCAGCCACAAGAGGTATGGGGGGAGATCATCACTGTTCCAGGGAGATGAACTCAGGGATGGGGGAGAAAGGGGATGCTCAACTGATTCTTGGTTGGAACTCTGGGATTTGCAAAGGGCCTAGGTACTCAGCTTCCACTGACTTTCAGTGGGCGTATCGGTGCCTAATTCCCTTAGTCTTCTTTGAAAATCCCATGCTCTATGCTTAAAGCAGGGGATGGGGGGAGGGTAGGAAGGAAAAAAATTCTTCTTGATCTAACCAATCCCTGTCCCCAGCTGGTTCTGCCATTCCTGACCACTCAGTCAACTTCTAAATAGAGGAGAGCAAAGACAGACCTTCTTGAATCCTATTAAAATGTGCTGGGCTAAGGGAGTTTTGCAGAGCAAGGAAATGCTGCATCTCCTTCCAGCTTGAGTGGAAAACATCCACTCAATGGGCAGCGACCATCACAAAAGTGAACAGAATGCTGGGACTCATTAAGAAAGGGATAGATAATAAGACAGAAAATATCATGTTGCCTTTATATAAATCCACGGTGCACCCACATCTTGAATACTGCGCCCTATCTCAAAACAGATATATTGGAATTGGAAAAGGTTCAGAAAAGAGCAACAAAAATGATTAGGGGTCTAGAACGGCTTCCGTTTGAGGCGAGATTAATAAGACTGGGACTTTTCAGCTTGGAAAAGAGACGGCTCAGGGGAGATATGATTGAGGTCTATAAAATCATGACTGGTGTGGAGAAAGTAGATAAGGAAGTGTTGTTTACTACTTCTCATAACACAAGAACCAAATGAAATTAACAGGCAGCAAGTTTAAAACAAACAAAAGGAAGTATTTCTTCACACAACGCACAGTCAACCTGTGGAACTCCTTGCCAGAGGATGTTGTGAAGGCCAAGACCATAACAGGGTTCAAAAAAGGACTAGATAAATTTATGGAGGATAGGTCCATCAATGGCTATTAGCCAGGATGGACAGGAATGGGGTCCCTAGTCCCGGGTGGGCAAACTACGGCCTGAGGGCTGGATCTGGCCTGTGGGATTGCCACCCCCATGGCGCTGCGGGCCCCGTGCCGCTCCCGGAAGCAGCCAGCACCACGTCCCTGTGGCCCCTGGGGAGGTGCGGAGCAGAGGGCTCCGCGCTGCCCTCGCCTGCAGGCACGGCCCCCTGTAGCTCCCATTGGCTGGGAACGGGGAACCGCGGCCAATGGGAGCTTCAGGGGAGGTACCCGCAGGCGAGCGCAGCACGCAGAGCCCCCAGGGGCTGCAGGGACATGGTGCTGGCTGCTTCCAGGAGCGGCACGGCACGGCACGTGGCCAGGGCAGGCAGGAAGCCTGCCTGAGCCCACCGCATGCTGCTGGACCGGGTTGGAGCCTGCACCCAGAACCCCTCCTGCACCCCACATCCCAACCCCCTGCCCTGAGCCCCCTCCTGCACCCTCTCCCACACCCCAACTCACTGCCTTGAGCCCCCGCCGCATCCCTCCCGCGCTCCAAGCCCCTGCCCTGAGCCCCCTCATACACCCCGCACCCCTCCTGCACCCCAACCCCTTGCCCTGAGCCCCTTCCTGCACACTGCCCCCGACCTCCCGCACTCCCTCCCGTGCACCAACCCCCTGCCCCAGCCCTACATTCATGGCTCTGCATGCAATTTCCCCACTCAGATGTGGCCCTCGGGCCAAAAAGTTTGCCCACCCCTGCCCTAGCCTCTGTTTGCCAGAAGCTGGGAATAAGCGACAGGGGATGGATCACTTGATGATTCCTTGTTCTGTTCATTCCCTCTGGGGCACCTGGCATTGGCCACTGTAGGCAGACAGGACACTGGGCTAGATGGACCCTTGGTCTGACCCAGTAGCACTGTTCTTATGTTCTTTGATTCTACCTTGTAGTAACTTGCTCCTTCCTTCCTTATTTACTAGCTATCTCTGTGGGCCAGGTTTGGGCTGCTACCATCTGTCTGAGGTGCTCAGCAGTGGGAAGTCAGCAGGGTGCCAAGCCTGCAATGATGCATGGTTGATGCAGCCCCACACACCTTCCAGTGTGTTATGGGGCTGGACATAGACCATGAAGGGCCAGCACTGAGATGTGAGCGGGACCGGCCAGGAAGCACAATGAGATTAGACACAACCATGCTGGGTGCTTTAGATTCAGTGCTCTCACTAGGGCAGTTCTTATGTTCTAGTAGGAGTTAAAGCAGAGAACCACAGTGGAAAAGAGACCTTTCCTCCACCAGGATCGCTCAGGGTGTCCGGTGAACACACAGAGGTGTAATTTACACCACCCCACTACACCATCTTTTTGGAATCTGGCCCATCACCATCACCTCTGCTAAATTCTGTAAAGCATTTTGGCACACAATAGAGAAGGTGCTGTACAAAATGGAGCTGAATCACTTTGTCTCCAGCTCAGATCCTTGAATCCAAACCCCACTGAATTGTGTGTGAGTAGGTGAGATTCAAATTCACAGAGCCACACCTGTCCTTAAGGTTTTGGTACCTGGTTGGAGATCAATCCGGAATGGGCCTGTTTGCTCCTTCAGAGGCCCCTGCAATCTCATGAGAACACTGAGCTCACAAGATTTCAGCCATTTCCTGCCCGAGCCAAGGCAAACTCATGAGATTTCAGCATTGTCCAACCTGCCCCCAAGCACTGATTCAGCTTCACACCCAGACCACTCAGGTTAATCTGGATCAGTATCCTTATTCCTCTGCCTTGCCTCTTCTCTAGTGGTGGGAACGTTTTGATTTCTGATGTTTATTTTTTCTTGGAATTTTAAGCCTAAACTTTCAAAAGCGTCCAGTGATTTTTTCATAACTCAGTGACTGGAGTGCCCAGCCTGAGACATCTTTAAAAAGGCCTGATTTTCAGAAAGGGCTGACCATCTACCTTCTGAAAATCAGGGGTGAAATCCTGGCACCAGAGACGTCAATGGACGTTTTGCCATTCAGTGCTTCAATGGAGCCAGGATCTCACCCTTTAAGGTGATGTCTCTAACTGGGCATCCAAAACCACTGGCCACTTCTGAAAATGTAGGCCTTAGTGCTTATTTTAGGTACATTATGGCTCAAATTTGTAGAAGTTTTTTTAAAAAGGGGGATTTATAATATTATTTCCCTTGAATTTTATCAACATTTGCCAGCTCCTGGAGATCAGCTTCAAAGCAAGCGCCGTGCGGGGGTCATCAGTGTCTATTTACCCCACCTGCTACAAACCCACATTCCTGGGGGCATCAGGAATTGGTAGTCCTCTAGTTCTGCTCTGTAGCCCCTGGTGCCTAAGCATGAGCTCGTAGCAATCATGAAGGATCATTGGGTTCTGCCAATGCCCTCCACAAATAAGATTCAACCTGGCACAAATGGTAAATGGCCAGGTATTTGGGGTGTATGTTTCAGAAGGGGTGCATGGGTCACTCTGAGAAGCTGGATATGAGTCAGCAGTGTGCCCTTGTTGCCAAGAAGGCCCACAGCATATTGGGCTGTATTAGTAGGAGCATTGCCAGCAGATCGAGGGACGTGATGATTCCCCTCTATTCGGCACTGGTGAGGCCACACCTTGAGTACTGTGACCAGTTTTGTGTCCCCCACTACAGAAGGGATGTGGACAAATTGGAGAGAGTCCAGTGGGGGGCAACAAAAATGATCAGGGAAATGGGGCACATGACTTACGAGGAGAGGCTGAGGGAACTGGGGTTATTTAGTCTGCAGAAGAGAAGAGTGAGGGGGGATTTGATAGCAGCCTTCAACAACCTGACGGGTGGTTCCAAAGAGGATGGAGCTCGGCTGTTCTCCGTGGTCGCAAATGACAGAACAAGGAGCAATGGTCTCAAGTTGCAGTTGGGGAGGTCTAAGTTGGATATTAGGAAACACTATTTCACTAGGAGGGTGGTGAAGCACTGGAATGGGTTCCCTAGGGAGGTGGTTGAATCTCCATCCTTAGAGGTTTTTAAGGCCCGGCTTGACAAAGCCCTGGCTGGGATGATTTAGTTGGGGATTGGTCTTGCTTTGAGCAGGGGCTTGGAGTAGATGACCTCTTGAGGTCTCCTCCAACCCTAATAGTCTATGATTCTATGTATTTGTGGGATACTCCCCACTGGGATATTTGTGGGTGATGTTCACACACATGTGGATAAACAGTAATTATTGTCCTGGGTGTGGGGCTTGGCTCTTATTCAGTATCCATCAGGTTGTGGCCTTCATGACTCAGTGCTTGGCCAAGTTTTGTGTACAATCAGGGACTGGTTTTACTGGGGTGCTTGTTTGCAAACCATTCTTGAGAGAGCCCTGTATTACTCAAACCAACCAGCCGAGACTACAAGGATAGCGCTGGGCAGCTGGACTGGGGAACTTCCCTGTGATGCAGGCTGCAGCGCTGGTTTTGGCTTGGGTCCCTGGGAGCATCAGGTAGTAGAGAACATGCTCCTGGGTCTGCCTAGGAACATCGGGTAGGAGGAAATGCAGTGCTGGGGTCTGGCTAGTGTTTCTGGGTGTGCCAGGGTAATAGAGAAAGCAATTCTAGTCAGCAGGCCCAAGGATTTGAGGAGCTGATTGGCGTGATTCCTGCCCTCCAAAGGTCAGTCCCTAATTTGTTAAGATCTCCCTGCACATCCCAGCATCCCCTGCCCGCTCCTCTGTACCAAGACCCCAGCCAAGCAGAGCTATATTAATTCCCAAAGTGGAGCTGCTCTGATTGCCAAGGTTTGTGGGTCGGTGTCATGCCCATAAATATTAATAGTGACACTGCGTGCAGCGTGTCCTTCACCAGGGGTTCGTGGGACAGTGAAAACGTGAAAATGACTCTATTTTTCATCCTCGCCCCTTTTAATGCTTTTGTAGATCATTGGCATTTAGCGAAGGCCGAGTCAGCACTTCCACTGCCTGCCTCTGTTTTCTGGGGTTTATAACGTAGCCATAAACATTCACTTAAGACTGCAGCTTGGCAGAAAAGGGCTCAGCCCAGCCGCTAATACTGAGCATTTATTTGGACCACAGTGTTCAAAAGTTTGAACAAGCCATT